CCCCTGCGCCTGGGGAGGACGGTCCCTGGGTCGCCCTTCCACGCCCCCTTGGCGCGAGCGCACTGGCGCCCCCCATGAGCCCCGGCCTCTGAGGCAGACAGGCTCCAGCCCAGGGCGAAAGGCCTGGGGGAGGTGGGAGGAGAGACCTGAATGGCGAGGCCCGGCTCGGTCTTTTGAAGCTTAGTTGCATCTTCCAGCCACGTCTCCGGGCCCCAGCAGATAGGGATCGTTTTCACTTCGGGACCCAGCCACGGCGGCCTCCGTCTCGCTGCGGGCGACGCCTCTCTTCCTCCCCAGCCGCCTCCCAGATCCCGCATCCACCCTCCACCCTCCAGGCTTGGGCCCGGGACGAACCCGAGGACCCGCTGGAGCCCGTGACGAGGCCGAGGGGGAGCGACGCCGCAGAGCAGCCTCCCGGCTGTCCTAGGGCACTGGGGGGTGTGGCCGCGAGGGCGCTGGGCCCCGGTTAGAGACGCGCTCCGTCCCCAGCTGCCCAGCACCCCCTCCGGCTCCTGGGGAAGAAGGGAACGGTCCTGGGGGACTTGACACTTGGGGGAGTAAAGCCGAAACCCGAAGAGGCCACGGAAACCAGGTGGCAGGTGCTGGGGAACTAACATTAAGGACCGCCTTTCTCCATTCTGCATGTAAACCTGCAAAACTAGAGCTCAGCCCCGAGAACCTACCTTGGTTAGAAAACTAAACTTGACTCTCCAAGAAACCGGTCATTCGGTCCCTGTGATACGTCTTTCTGCCAGACAACTCCCACATCAGCCGCGTGTAAGGCAGGGACGCTAAGGCCTGCTAGCAGGTGGCCCGGCCGCGGAGAGGCGGTTCCCCGCGGGTGCGCACGGTCCCGGGCGCTTCCGATTTGCTGAGTCAGCGCGGGTGCCGCGGGCTCGGCGGTTCCCGACTCCACTGCGCTTCGCTGGCTGGTGTGTCGACTGGGTGGTGTAATTATTGTTTTGTTTTCTAATATGTAATTACTCTTTGTCGTCGCTACTATGAATCCGCCGAGCCTGACTGGAGCAGCAAGATGGATTCAAGTTTGGGGTTAGGATCCCGCGCGTGGGAAACAGTCGTCCCGCGCGCAGGACAGCAGCCCGCGTGTCTGTCTCCCCGCGGCCTCGCCAGGAAGAGGGCCTGCGGCTCCTTCGCTGACCAGAGGCCCCAGAGCCTGTTCCATTGCGGCAGACCCACCCTCAGCCATTGCTGGGGCTCGCTCTTCCCCTAGCATATTTGTAAAGAGGGTGGACGAGGGAGGGGGGAGGATGGAGTGGGGGAGAGATCCCTTCTTGTTTTCAAATGCTTCCTTCTAGTATTTAAAATGAGATACTGGAAGTTCCCTCCATTTCCTACTTGTTTTACCTCTCCCTGCTTTCGCAAATCCCCCCACCCCACCCCAAGGGGCCGCCTAGTTCCCACACGAGCCCCCTGCTCAGAGCCGGGCGCTCACAGTAGGATCTGCCCCCGACGGAGCGACCCGGCGGTGCCACACTTGGAGGCCCAGGCAGGGCCAGAACAAAGAACTGACGCCGCCAGCGGCCCCGGGGGTGGCGGAGCTCCCTGGGCCCCGCCCGCACAGGCCGACCCCGGGGCTGAGCTCCTCCGCGAAATCCGCCCCCCAACCCCCCACCTTCGCGGGCGGAAGTTCAGGACTGGGATGGGCACCCCGGGACCCTCCCTGCTGCAGCTCGCCCGGGCCGGCCCGCCGCCCCCTGAGGCCTGCGGGCATTGGAGCGGTCTGCGGAGGGACCGGCTGCCCGCGGCGGGGAGATGGGGTCCCTGGCCGAGGAAAGCGATCCATTTTCTCTAACCATTTGCCCGAGAGCTGTCAGGTTAGCGCTGCCTCCTCGGCCGCCTAGAGAAGGACGCGTTAACATTCTCCGCACGGGCGTCTCCCCAGACCCAAGTACCGCCCCGTGGCGTTCGCGGCGCCCACTGCCGGTCCCTAACCCCGGCCACCGTCTCCCGCTGAAATATGCACATCGCTCTTCAATAATTTAGACACCTGGGAGACTGGACACGTATCATTTTTTTTCCAAACACGGGAGCATCCGGGTTGCCATCAATCATGCTTTTGTTTTATGTGAGATGGGCTTTGTGTGTTTAGCTGCCCGGCTCCCTCCTATTTGCATGCGGCTATTTAATGGGCATTTATTTTGGCTTTGAAGATCTGCTCAAAAATCTAAACCCAGAAAAGGGGGAGGGCGCCCCCCTCGTGGTTCGGACGGGTTTGTGGGGGAGGGTGGGGCTTCCTTTGAGGAGTTGGGCCCCCCGGGTCTCGATTACAGATGAATTTTGATTCCGAGGTGGGACCCGTCATGGAACGGAAAGGATATGTTCTTTCTCCTAAATCTCAGGGTTTCTTTCTAGCAAACAATGCTCCAGTCAGTATTTGTGTATGAGACAAGTAATTGTGCTCCAAATGCTTAAATAAATCATTGATGGGTGAAATTACACATGCTCACTTAAAGTGTAATGTGATTAAGAGATTATGAGATTGAAGCTAATATCTTGTCTCCCAGCTCCTGGCCCCAAATCTTGACACCAGAAATTTATCAACAGCAACTGTCCTGAAATGTACAGATACAAAAGATTTCTATTGAAGACGAATCAAAGACAGCCTCTAAAAGACAAAAATGTGTATGTGTGTGTCTGTACTGTACTGGTCGCAATGTTATTATAAAAGAACATGAGAAGGGAAGAGAAAAAGACTGAGACGATAAGGAGAGGGTATTGGTTTTATCTTTTATTTTTTAAAAAGTCAGCGGCAAGGGGCGGGGGACCGTGGCGGGAGCTACGTCTGCGAGCTGATTACTCCGCGTCTGCAACCCGCTCCATTCCCCGCACCGTGGGTAAATCCTTTATCGGGGGAAGCCCCGGCCTCGCCCGCAGCCATCCTTCGCCTCGAGGCGCGCGCTGGGCCGGGGCGCGGGAGCCGCTCAGCGGCTCCGTAATGACCCGGGTTCGCCGCAGCTGCGCCCTGACCCTTTGTGATGGCGCCGATAGCGCTCGGATGAAATTATGTCCTTCCTCCGGGTGTGAAATTACCATGTTTATATTGAGCCAGACATAGCTTTACTTTTCTTTTTAGTCGTGAAATTTGTGATTCAGGCCAAATGTTTTGCGACAGAAGTTTGATTGGCATCACCCCCCCCCCTCTCCCCTCCAGTCCGCCCCCCTCCCCTCCCCGCGCTCCCCTTCCCCCCATGGCCCAGGCAGCTCTGGAAAGCTTTCTAGGTCTCGGTGCTGGAGAGCCCTCGGAGGGAGCAGAGCGAGCGGGCCTCTGAGGGTGCGAGCGCGCGTGTGTGCCAGTGCGCACGCGGGGTTTTCCTCCTCGGCAACTGTTGTCAAACAATGTAACAACCCCCGGCTCTGAATTACAGCCTTTCCCCCAGAATTCTTGATCAGTAAACCCTAAATCGTTTTCAAGACAAAGAAGCATCCATCAGCGACAAAGACAGATTTAACGTATTAAATCTTTATTGAAGTGAAGTCATTCTTATTGAAATGATGTATTGGGTGTGCAGAAAGATTGGGGGTTTTTTGTTGTTGTGTTTTACGATGCTTAAGATGGAGATGGTGGCGGAGAACCCGCGCTGCGCCTCGCCCTTATTGTTCTGAGCAGGGGGTGGATTACTGGGGCTCTGCCCAGGCTCCCGGGTCAGGGAACACGCCTTGGACTGCGAAGAGAGGCTGACCCCCTCCCTCCTGATGGCCCCCACTTTGATTTCCCGAAGAACAAGCGTCCCAGGCCTTCTCAGCAACTTCCCGCCTTAGTCTCTGCAGTAGGGAAACTGATGCGCAAGTAAGGCTACCCACCAAGTCGCGAAGTCAGCCACTCCGGGAGCCTAGAGAGAGAAAGGAACGCCCAGGTGTCTCCTGGTTTTCAGGAACAACATGAGTTCTCTTGATAGTTTAAAGAAAATCCTTGTGCCCAGGGTCTGAAGGAGAAGGGGAGCGTGTGTTTGCTCCCCGCCGTCTCCCCAATCCGCCTTCCTCCTGGCAGGACTGGAGGCAGGAGCTGACCGCCTTCAGGCTTGGGATGGGCTTTCAATGAAATTGGCCCTTCGGACCTCGAGTCCTGTCACCTTCGGGGAACCAGGACCAGAGGGGGTTCAGAGACGAGTTCTCAGTCCCAGGGAGAGGCTGCCCAGGGTTTTCAGCATCGCGTCTTAAAAGGCTCAAATTCTTATCTCCTCTGAATGGGGGGGGGGGGGGGGCGGTCTAAAACCCTCGGCTGCTTCCAAGAATGGCAGCCACACTTTAACAAGATGCATTTGTTTCTCCACCTTCAGACACACAGACATCCACACCGACTGAAAGTGAACTGTTGGAATCAATTTCCTTGGAATACTCAACTTTTTTTTTCTATCATATTTCAGCAATGGAACGCTCTAGCCAGTTGATTCAATTTAGTATTTGCATAACCAGGAGAAGAAGGTGGCTCTGCAGCCTCCATGAATAGGTCTCTTGTTTGTTGTGGGGTTGGACTTTTAAATTCGCAGTGGTGGAGGAGGGCAATGGGAAGGCACCTTCAGGGCTGGGTTGCTGCCCAGGAGTCAAAAACAGAGAAGTCGCTGCAGGGATGGTGACAGGGTATTGTTCCCTCACTCCTCCAGTTTCTTGCATCCATCCATAGCCTCTACTTTGGAATATTCACTAATTGGATCCTTCTTTCATTTGTTCCAGGCAGTCCTGCTTCTAAAGATAAATTCCTTTGGTAGATGGTTTGAATTCAGTGTCAGGAGAGATGGCAATGTTGTTTTATAGTCTGTACATAGGAAAGGAATGAGCTGATTTTCAGGGCAGTCTTCAGAAATAGAGCCAGTTTTAATAGGATCCCAACTAGTGCACTAATTAAATATTTCACAGCTCCCAAAGTTGACATGCTAACATTGGGATTTTTTTTCCCCACCAAATCATACAAATTGGCCTTCTGTAACCCCATCCCCCACTTCAACCATCCCTTCCCAGACCCACCCACACACATACACACTCCCTGCCACAAACTCCTACCGACCATTTTCTGAATGGCATTACAAAGAATTTTGTTAAAGAAAAGTCAGACTAATTGCTGCCAGAAGACCCCGTCTCTCAGAGAAGTCTGGTTTTCATAAGTCAGATTCAGTAAGGGTTGTGGTTAAATCTAAGCCTAGTGGAAGGTTCTTAAGGTTTTTCTCGGCAAAGGAGGAAAGTACAAAGCAACACTAAGTTCAGCCAAAATACTCGATGGGGAGGGAGGGAAGAAGATGCAGTAGAAGGGAAATGCAAGTCCTCTGAACTCTTGTTTCCTTCTTGATTCCTTTCCTTGGATTCCTCGATTCCTTCTCCAAACTTACACTCACTGAGAGACTTTTCCTAAGCAGCTCTGGCTTCACAGAGTCCCAGACCAGTAACTTGATTCTCTTGACCTGGCACTAACTTCCAAGGGCTGGGACTTATACTAGAGGGTATAGCAAGAGATTTTTTTAGCCCCAAGATTCTCTGAGGCAACTCCCTGCTCCAGCCTTCCCCTCAGACCTCCTGGTTGAGTTAGTGGCAAAAGTCCCCTTCACAAACGCACAGGTGGATTCGCCCCTTTCTAAGCCATGTCACTGCGGAACACAAGGCTTTCTGAGAGCTCGAAGGAGCAGTGCCCATGCAAGCTTCCCAGCCTTGTAACAGAGTTAGATATCAGTGGTCTGCGTTGAGTTTGGAGATATCAATATCTGTTTGAGTATTAATTTTAAAAAACCATCTAAGAATGGTCTCATTATTAATGGGCTAGTATAATTTTAGGCTTTCCTCTTCAATGCTTTCCTCTATTCTGTTGTTCCTGGAATGCCAAGGATGGTTAGAAGCCCCCTGGAATTCATCAACTCCTCACAATGGGTCTCCCCACCCCCACCTTGGGTCAGGCAGCTCAAGAAGCTGAGCCACCTGCTTATGTCTCCTGATGCCAGAGGAGAAACCGCTCAGTTCCCAGCCTTCCAACTTCATGGGTATCTTCAAGACCATTTTGGTTTGGTGCTATATCCTCAAGGTTAGGATTCATCGCTCCCATGCTCCCTGCTATTCCAGAAAACATTTTCCCTACTTGGAACCCATTATCTTGAGTCCTTCCATTCAACTGGCTATGGAGAGTGTGGGTGAGAAATAAGAGAATATTCCAGACTATGTTTATTGAGTGTGGTCTTTCCCACTAGAGGGTTCTCACAGTCCTTGCCATCCTGGTGTGTAGTATTTTAACTTCCTCCCAAGATGACTGAATTCTCACCCCGGTCTTACTGCAAGGATGAAAAAAGGATTGGAGATTTTACTGTGTCTTTCTTTTGCTCTATAATTACAAGAAAAGATCATAATATAAGCAAATGAATACAATTTCAAAATCACTCTCTCCTTCTCTTGACAATCCCCTGATGAGGTTTAGGTTTTAGAGGATTTCATCCATTCTTTACTGTTTCATGATCATAACAAAGTACCTTCTTGTTCTCAAGCTATAAAGCTCATATGTGTCTCATTTTCCAGTTTCCAGGATGAGTCAAGGCAGCCTTCTTCCAAAATTCCTACCACTTCTGATCCCACAACCTGAACATTTTAGAAGACTAAGGCAGCCCATATCCAATCACCTGTTAAAACTGTGGTTGAAGAAAATCTGGCTTAAATACCTGGACCTCAACTTTAACAGCAAACTTGGCTCATCTACTTGCTTAATCCAGGAGACCTCAACAATTTCATCTGACTCTGGTAGTGGACCAAGGATGGTGGGATTGGCATTGAAGGGCCCATGTGAGTGGGAGGAATTTATCAAGCACTTCTAATCTGCCTTAGCATGGACATCTAACGGATAAGGGGAAATGCCAAAATGCCCCATGGAGTTTCGTGCCATAAAGGCCTACTGTATTCTAAGGCTGTAGAACAAGTGCCATTTATGTTGACTTTCTCCTCCTTGATCATCATGAAATAAATGATTGCAGAAGGAAAACTACCTAAGTCCCTAAGATCAGTCTTAATCTGAGGTGATTTGAGATTTGAAGAAAATTCTGACGTTCTCATTTTATAAACAAGCAGCAAAGCTATGTTCCTATAATAGAACTATAATCTCTTCTGTTTGTATTTACACAATAATTGCTCCATCTTTTGCATTTGGCTTCATTACTTTTTTCTACCACATCAAAAATATTTTTTGTATCAGCTCCTAAGGGATTTTCCAGAGTTTGTCTTTCACTCTGACAGTCCTCCTTTTCTGCTCCTAATCAATAAAAGCCTTTTCTCCTGCAGCTAGGAATCCAGTCAAAATATTACATCGGGAGTGTGCAAGACTTCCATATTTACCAAGGGATTGTTATCATAAGGCAGAGATCTTCAGATTCAACTTTTATTTATGCCAGTCACAGGCATATGGGAATCAATGTTGGGGATTTTTCCGTCAGAGCTTTTTGCTAGACTACCAATGCTCTCCTTTCCACAGGATCCTTCCCTGTTCTCTGCCCATTGCGCTGAGCTTGTTTCTGCCTGCTTTTTTATCCCACCGGACTGCCCAAACACTCACAGAGGCAGTCGATTCTGTAATTTCAAAGGAAAAAAAAAATAACTGAGATGAAACATGTTTTCTCTTTAAGGGTGACCTTTGACCTTTCCTTTCCATACACCTGACCACCTGACACCAAAGGCTTTAGAGAAAGACTTGCTGGAGATGGGATGCGAATGTTGTTTCTCTCTCTTTCCTCTCTCTCTCTTTCTCCCTCTCTTTCTCCCCCCCCCCCCCCCCACCCCTTCTCAGAGGCTGAACTGAATGAAAAGTTGTTGCAATAATCGCAGCTCCCTGCTCCGCCAGGGCTGAGGGAGGCGGGCGGGCGGCGGAACATGGAGGGTGTTTTTGTTAAATGCTCCCGTCGTTTGGCAAGGGCTGGGACTTGATAAAAGGAGGCCGTTTTCTGAAAAGATTTGATTGAAATGGCGTGTGCCTGGGCTGATGGGAGCCAGCAAGGGACAAAGCGCCGCGAATCCATGGACACTCGAGCAATTATGCCTCCACGCTGAAGGTGGATTAGCGCGCTGGAAAGAAGCATATGTTTGGCCCGGGGCGACACTTCCCCCCGGCTGAGCTTAGAGAAAGGGAGCGCGGAGAGGGGCTGGACCCGGAATATCAACTATCTGCGAAGCCCCCCTCCCCGCCCGGCCCAGCCCCCAGTCTCCCCGCCCCCGCCGCAAAGTCGGAGGGTCATTTTTACAAAAGGAGGGGCAGGGGGGGAGGGGAAGCCCCGAGGGCAAAATGGCCCTGGGACTGGTCAGGGGAGCTACCCAAGGCTTGCAGCTCCTGTCATCCTAATGGGGATCCCTGCTTGGGTCACATAAATGCCCACCCCCCCCCCCCAGACTTGCCCACTGCTAAGGTAGTTCAGTCCTGGATGCTTGCTCACACGGGAAAGGTCAACCAAATTGTTGCAGTAAAACAAGGTGTTAATGACTTTTCAAAGACTGGAGTGGCTGATGGTCAATGTTGCGGTGAGCAGGCGGAGCTGGGCAGCTGCGCGGGTTCCCGCCGCGCCTGGGGTCTAGCTGAGGGGCAGGCCCGGCCTTGGGAGAGGTGTCCCGCGGTCAGACGCTGGGTGAAATGGGTGAGGGGTGGAAGCTCAGGGAGGCCTGGTGGGATTGAATGGGTGCGCGTCCGGATTGAAGCCCGGTGCGGCTCTACCTACTTAGACCCCCGGGCCAGGGATGCTGAAACTTCGTGCAGCATCGGAAGCCTTGGAGCCAGGGAGTTTCACGGATCCTGCCTCCAGTCGTTAATTAAAGCGCCATTTCCGTGAAAAGGGCCCTTAAAACTCTGACCTGGAGCCTGCCGGCTCCCGCTCACTGCACCGGCAAGCGCGCAGGGAGGCTGCAGGGCAGGCAAGTCCCAAACCTCTTTCTCAGGGATTTACTGCAGTTTAATTGGGTCAAACCCGGACACGAGCGTCGATGGCCGCCGCCCAGGCCTCCCACACCTTCCCCGGCTGCCCTCTGGGCTCCTGCACCCCCCACCCCCACGCCCGCCTCCATCCAACCCCAAGCTCAAACCTCCTGTCCCCTTTCCCCTTCACCGCGCCCGCCTCCCTCCTCCCACGCCAGGCCGTCAGAATCAAGTTGCGAATTGCTTCCAATCCAAAGGGGTGCACGGGAGATTTTTTCGGAGCATTTAGCTGGGGCCGTGCCTGTCTGCCCGCCGGGTGGGGGTGGGCCGAACCCCACGCAGTGAGGGGTGTGGACCGCGCCGCCTCCTCCCAGGCGGGGGTCCTGGTTCCCCGAGCTGAGATCAGGCGCTGGGACCGGGTCCATGCTGTGGACAAAGGCTCAGAGCAGACTTGGGGACTCCAGAAAAGACAGGGGGACCCTGAAATAGGATTTGGTAGCTGACAAAGCAGAATTCGATCCTAGCATGAACTCATTGCCTCAGGAAAAGAAATAATCTTTTAAGCTATATTAGCTAAATTTAGTTTAACCAAACATTTCAAATGTAAATATACACGCATATATGTGTATATTTCCCCGGGGTAGGCTGGACTTTAAAAGGGTGATGAGTGGTAACAACTCAGGAGAGCTCAGAGAGGCGTGTGCCCAGGCCTAACAGGGACTCTCCTTTTTCACTTATAAAAGCCGAGCGCTGTGATGGAGGACAATCATCGAACAGTGGTTAGATTAGACCATGAGACTAGACCATGAGACTCTACCTTCAGTTTAAGGGCTTTTGTTTGGGGTTGTTATTGGAAGTTAGTGGCTATAATATTTATTTCCTCAGTAAAATCACATGTGGTGAAAACTAGAATGAAACTGGGCCAGTTTTTAAAAATCCATGCCTTGCTGTTGAAAATATTCCTACCCCTAAATGGACCTTAGTATAGAAAGTCAAAATAGTCGTAGGAAGTTTGCCCTAAGATGTCAGACCTGTTCTTGTGTTAAAAAGGAGACTGAGAGGAAAGGAAGGTCAGATGGAGAGAGAGCAGGGAAGGAGGAGGGAGGGAGGACGGAAGGAAAGAAAGAAGAGAAATTCCTCCTGTACGTTTTCTCAGTTATCCACTGAGAGGTCATCTCCCTGAGCTTCCTTTGGCTCTAACAGGTTTCTCCAGCCATATGCTCTGTTGCTCTTTCGTTAAGAAAGAAATCTCTCTGTGAAATCAAAGTTAGTGCTGCACTTTTTGGGGTATCGAAAACGAAAAAGAAAGACAGTTTACACATGAACAATACTTAACAGTTATAAGGCCCCAGGTTCAGCCTAAAATCTCTTGTATTCCCTCTTTTCCTTTTTTCAATCATTATCCTAAGGAACAGAATCTTATTTTTCAAAACACAAAAACTCCCATAAACATGCATTCCACAGTTTCCCATCTCAACATTCTCTTCCCACTCTGATGGCAACCATGCTGCCCTCCGTGGGAAACACCAGCTACTTCTTTGGATGGAGACTTCACTTATGTTCATGTTTTGATTGAGAATGTTTTTTGTTGTTGTTTTGTTTTGTTTTGTTTTTATCTATGTCCACATGGGCAAACATGAGTTTGGGCTACTCCTTTCATAGATGGAAATCAATGTCTTGTCCAATCACATAACTGCTCTCTGTTTATAACTACTCCACCTTGGACTAATTCATCCCTGCCTTCAGGAAAACAGTTGAGTAACTCTGATCATTAATGGGGTCTTTAGTTCTAACTCCTGGTTAACTTGCAAATAATGTTTTTAAAGACAAGCTGCTGAGAGGAACCCGTAATAAGTCAAAGTTTTTCAGTTTCTCTCCCACGGTGTATCACAAGGACAGTATCATTAAGAGTAGTAAGAACAACAGGAAGCTGAGAATGGCATACCTGTGCAGCAACCAACATAAAAAAAGAATTGTTCATTGAAATCACAAGGAAAAATATCCCTAAGCATCCTACGAGGTGATGCAAAGGTGTGAGAACTGCAGTTACCTGCTGTGTTCTGTGGTTTTATTCTTCTGAGATGGGTGGTTGGGTGATATTTGGAGTTGAATTGGGTTTGTCTGTGGTGTGTGAGGTTTTTTGCCTTCTTCCGCTTCTCTTCTTGCATTTTAGGTTTTTTGTTGTTTTTTTTACCACATAGCACAAAGCAATAGGGAAAGACGGATGTGTTTCTTCAAATGCCCAACTTGGATCATCAAGCCAATTAAAGGACAAATGTTAGTACTCTTGCCTCAGGATCGGTGCCATCTCTGCACCTGTAACTCAGAGAATGAAAATACTGTTATTTATGTTGTACTTTCTGCCTCTTGAATCTCTAGTGAGTTGACCTGATTTTTATAGCCCTTTTACCCAAGCAATGACGATCCTTCCCCTCACTTCATCCCCCCACCCCCTCCACCCCATAACTGAGTGGCTTAGGAGGAGATCTGTAACTGGGATGAAGCAGCTGTTGGCTTCATGCCGTCCTCTAACTTGATTATTCTTTGGACACGTTAGGCAAGCATTAGTGATTGATAATGACGCTAATTAACCCCTTTCCTTTCCAAACAGTAAACTGCTGCCAGCAGGATGCTACAAACAATAAATATAAAACACTGCATACATCAATATCTGTTTAAAGCACAACTTCATTTGGGCACATTTAACCATACTGCTTTCAGTTAACAATTCACTATTTATTCAAGCACTTCTCCAAAAGCCAGAGGGGCGGGGGAGACAGAGGAAGAGAGGGGGTTAAGAAAAGGGGCCTGCGGCTTTAAAATGTTGTCATACCTGTCAGCTGCAGCCAAGTTAAGCTCTAATGGAAACCATGCGTAATTTTTTTAAAATTTCAGGTCAATACTTTTTAAAAACTTAATTAATCCAGCTCTGTTCTTAACCTATTTAAAGTTAACGCAAGGATGATGACCACATGATTTTTTTCTTTGTGGGGGAAAACAGCTCTCCTGCCTGGCATGGAATTATTATGAATTTACTTTTGATCGAGAAAGGAATGGCAAATATCGTTTCATAAAGAGTGGTGAAATTTAGATTTTAAGCAGGAGTTGGGGGGAACCAGGGCAAATTTGATCTGATTGTGCAGTCTAACATAATCTGAGTTGTAAAGAAATGTACATTAAATTTGGAATTTTGATAAATGAATATTCCTAGCAAGTGAATAAAATGTATTCAATTAACTAAAACCCTGTGCACTTCTGAACTGAAGTGGAATCGACTGTAATTGATTTATTTGAAACCAGAGGTTAAGGACTGAATTAGCTAAGTACAACTGGGTATTTCAAGCCACTGACTTCTCAAATGTCAAATCCCTTCTATTTTAAATATTATTTCAGCTGCGGGGCATTGCAGTCCTGATGGTAGTTCCATCAAGAACTCAAATTATATTAATATTCGATTTTGGGGAGGAATGGGTTGGATAGTGATTTTCAAAGGCTGTTGGAGAATAGAAGAGGTAATGAAGGAGCATTGTGTTTCCATAAAAACTGGGTGTGGTAATTAGCATAGCCTAGCAAGCATTTTTATAATTCAACTAGGTATCCTCATTTGACTTAATTCAAAGATAATCACTGCTGTTAGTATATAAATATGTGACCTGTCCAATAATCACCATGTGTTTTAGAAAATACACATTGGTTACAACAGAGAAAGCCAAAATCCATATAGCCTTTGGTTAGTCCCATAAAAATTATTTTTAATAACAACCCTCTAATCTTCCCACCCCTTAAAAATATATATAACTTCTTTTTAATGTTTGTTAAAGAAAAAGAAGTGACAATATCATGATCCTCAAAATGTCCAATTACAGAATAAAAGTAACTAATTCTGTGCCTTTAGAAACCATTGTTTATTATGACCTTGTAATGTTCTAACCCACTATTTCCTTTCTGTCTTTCTCAGGATGCAAGGATTATATTGGGTTCAGGTTTTTCCAACATAACAAGCATCTGTAAATCCAGATATGAATGAATGGTATTTAATAAGATTGTTTTCGTTTTAAAATGAGTATTTATGTGTCGTTGGAGAAAGAGCAGCAATGTATGGCTGTTTATGAATGCTATTGTGCCTGAGGTTAGGATCCCCCCACACAATCTGAGATGCAGCCAAGAAAAACAGCCCTGATAGACAATGCTTCACTTCACCTGCTATGATGCTGTGTGCATTTCATTTCTGTCAAGAGTATGTACAGTTAGGGTTCATTCGCCTCATTATTTTGTTACATCTACGTTACAGTTAACCAGTCTCTCTAGGAAATAATAAATAACCGCTTTAAAAAACAATTGCTGCCTTGTGTTCTGAGGATACACTCTCCATTTGAATTAAAAAAAAAAACTCCACCATTATTATGAATTCTCTGGCTTTGGGAAATAGAATTTAGACTCCACCACCTCTCATTCGTCTGTCAGGATTGATTTTACACTGCCTTCCATAAGGAGATTAGAAAGCAAAAGGCTGCAAAATGGACCCTGCCTAATGCTTTGCTTCCCTAGTCCTTCGGAATGCCAAACCAGATGAACAAATGCTAAATCTCCTCCAGTGTGTAGGAGATTAAACCTACACCTAGATACTTTTTCTATGACTTTTCCTAGAAACCTTCCCGTTATCTACCTCCATTTTCTTCTGAAAAATCATTAAAAACCCTCCTCACTTCCAAAGCAGACTTTCCAAATCAGTTTTAAAAGCTCTGGATTCACCATTTTTATGCACAGGAAGTCCTTCCTCTGTAAGAGCTGAGCACACAGAGTCCTGTTATTGTAGAAGACAGACAGGAGAAGGCTGCAGAGGCCCTCCCCCATCCTCCCCCATCCTCCCCCCCCTACCTCTGAGAACATTTTCTATTTCGAAAAGGTTCTAAGAGGAGCCCTGTGGTGATGGAAAGGGGTGGGTCGGCTTTTAGGGGCAGGCAGAAATGATTCTGGATATCAACATAATTTCCCACTCCCCTCTGCTCCCACAAGAGCTACTAAGAACAGCATAGGAGGAAATTCATCTCTAAATAAAATATTAAAATAAATGGGAGACAGTTTGCCATCTCTTTCTCTGCCCCGCGTTCATTTCTGCCACTATTCCTTTCTCCTCCCAGAAAACTAGAGCTAGTTTTAGCTTATTTACATGTCTTAGCCTCTGAGAAGCCTGAGCTAGCAAGAGAAGGTTGAAGTGGTAGTTCCTTTGTGCTAATGAACTAACAATTTAAACTTCAGTAATTTTTGAGACAGACTCCAAAGTAGTTAGGGGGTGGGGGGTGGGAGGGCAGGTGCCTTCTATTCTCCATCTTCCTTGCCATCCTTAATGTTTGGTTCTGAAGATTTTATATTTTGGTTTCCAAAACACAAATAAAAACCTAAAGGATCAACATAAATAAAACTTTATTTTTAATAATAAAATTAATGTTTCTAGTAAGGAAAAGATAGTGTGTCATTCCTTTAGCAGTACAAACAATCTTTTATCCAAAACAATACATTGGGTTTTATTGTGTCATTTGTCTGGATACAGACTCAGTGGAATATCTAAATGATACCCTGCTCTGAACTCCAAGTTGAAAGTAAGTTTTTATTATACTTGAGGGAAACAATGGGTTCAGCTGCTTATTGCAAGGAGCAATTGCCAAGGGAGAGTTAAACTCAATTACTGTAACCATACTGAATAAAAAATACTGCCAAGAACAAAAATACGCCTGGGTAAAGACAGCCACTGAATAAAAAAAAATCGACATAAAGCGTATCAAATATTTATTTATCTGGGCAACAAAGGACTATGATACATTGACAGGCATGGAAACTACTGCCGGCACAACTCAATACAATACAACTAGAACTGTTTCCAAAATGGCCAGTGAAAATACAGAATGCCAGGTGGTCCCACATGTTTGAAGTTCTCTGAACAAAAAGAGAGAAAGAGAGGAAAAAATATCCCTAACCCTTGGTTTAAAGACAATACTCGTTTATTGCTCAAATGATGCTTTTGAGGGAGGATGGTGGAATGAAATTAACTTTTTCCCCTCCCCCTAATACACAGAAGGGTTATGAAACCACTCAAGTTTAAAAATCTTTCCCAGGTTCCAATATCAATTTTTCTTTCCGTTCAATGAAAAGCTAAATGTAATTCTAATTGTATATAAAATTTTACTTTACTTGCTTTTTATTTGTTCAGCTGTTTCATTGTCATCTTTAACATGCTAAATTCATGAATCCCAGAGGAAAAAGGAATCCCCCCAAACCTTGAATTTCTAAATAAGTACCATGAACCACATGAAGAACTAATAGGGAAGATTCAAAACCCACTAAACAAGAGGTAAACGAGATCACCAGATAAATAAAAAAAAAAGGCTTAAAACAGACTCACCATATTTACACTTCCCATTAAATTACACATAAATAAATATATACAGAGACATGAACACTGATTCCCTTATATAACTGAATCGTGTTGCCAGAGAAAGTTCAAGTTGGTCGCTTTACCTTGAAGAGGAAAAACGTCTACAACTGAGACATGACATGGAACTTCGTGTATTTGTGTTCAAGTTTATTCACAATACTGATAAAAATGTCATTATCCTTTTGCCTTTTTAAAGTATGGCTACAATCTGAACCGATGTATGTAAGAGAAGGTGGTGATTCAGTCCCATGAAGCTCATATAATTTTTTTTTAATTTTTGCGTTCTTTTTTTTAGAAAAAAAAAGTTTTAAGTTTTTGTTGTTGTTGCCATTGTTGCTGTGTGGGGGTTTTTATTTATTTAAAAAAAAAAAGTTCACAAACTCCGACAGAACTTTTCTTTGCTGGCTTCACGGCCTGTTCTGTTCTTAGGCTCCACATGAGGGCAGTGGGTCGATGCTGATGGGGAAGTTGAGGCAGGGCCTGAGTCAGCAGGGGCTGCCCCGCTGACAGTGCAGAGCAGTCCCCAGACTCCCAGACGGGAGGACTGGAGGCGGCAGCGGCGGCGGCGGCGGCGGCGGCGGCAGCAGCAGCAGCAGCAGCAGCAGCAGCAGTAGCAGCAGTGGGGGGTTGCTGATCCCGGAGCTGTCACCTGCCGGGGGAGGTTGGTGCGGGGAAGACAGAGTGGGTGGGCGCTTGGGGGAGGGGCTGGCGAGGCATGGGAGGGGCTGGGCGGGAGGAGAGCCTCACTTTCTGTGTTTCTCCTCTTTGTCACTGCTTTTGGCGCTGTTGTCCGTGTGGCTGTTGGGGTTGTTGCTGAGGTACATTTTGTCCATGGCCTTGAGGGCCTCGGTGAGATAGTTCTGCAGGGCCGTGACCGCGGCGCACACCGCCGGGCTGCCGAAGCCGTGGGAGATGAGGTTGAAGTGGGTCAAGCAGCTCTGGATGCCGGGCTCCAGGATGGGGTTGGGCCGCGAGTTCCCCAGAGGAGATCGGTCCTGAGCCAGCAGGTCGGTGAACTCTTTGCAGATCTGTCTGCAGCACAAGAGAGAGAGGGAGACATGAAACTCCTCTGGGGCAGCACCAGCAGCAAAGATAACCTTTCTCCCTACGCTTAGCTCCAGCAGGATCCAGGCAGGATCCAGCAGACACTGACCTGACCCAAGACCCCAGCCCTAGAGACAGACCTGCAGGGGCCACGTGCTGGAAGACCCGGCAGTGTCCACTAACACAGCGCTGCTCCTTCTTTAAATATTTCACTAATGTGTTCAGTTTCTGCCTCTGTCTCTCTCCCCCTCCTCCCCCAGCCGCCTCTCAGCTATACCAAACTTCTAACCCCTCCTCTCTTGCTCACACCAAACATCCTAGTCACTGGAAAACATTTCACACATGAGAAGAGAACAAAGGACAGTAAGAGGGACAAGGAGTCAAACACAAGTCTCTCTTCAATAGCCAACAGCATGCGGCCATCAGCTGTCCTGTTGAAAATATTATAGAGACCCTCTTCTCTGATCTTCTAGAGAGACCTCAGCAGCAGTCTGTGGGGTGAAGTCTCCACTCATTCACCTTCTAATCAGTTGCATGTGAACAGAAAGGCAAAACTTTTCTTGGGATTATTCTGCCTTAAAAAAAAAAGGCATGAAAACCCCATTACTTGGGGATATTCAGAGTGGTTTGGAGAAGAAGAAAGGGTCATTTCAGTTTCCCATTCCATGTCTTTCCCCATACATCAAAATAAAATAAAACTCTCTAGGGAAATTGTGAACATGGGCATGCTTCGAACCTAAGGAAAGAGAAAAAGTCGAAATACAGGAAGATGAGGCCTGCGCACTGGAAGCCCTGTCTCTGAATGTGGGAAACAAGGATGAGCTGGGCCTTGGGGATGGAGGTCGGGTGGGGGTAGGAAGAAGGGAGAAGGGGGAGCACTAGCAGGCTGCCTTCCCCAAGACTGATGATGTCCCCAGGCCAAGCACTGTGCTGCCTGAGGCCGCAGCCTCTGCCCTCTGGTTCCATGCCTTCCTGTGACATGGACTTTGATAATTAAAGGCTTCCAAACAAGCCTTTTAATGTCCAGAAAACATATCAAGACAGTCATTTTCTTTTCACATACCACCTGGAGAAGCCTATTCAACCCAAGCACCCATGGGAATATAACTTGGGGCCATTTTGAAACCTACTTGATATCTTGCCTGTGGGCTAAAACTTGTGGTGTGTGTGTCACTTTCCAGGAGAAAGGAAGCAAGAAATGGGATGGGGATTAGGGTTGAAACTAGGACAACTTCTGGTTTGCACATTTTGCAGGCCACTACTTAATCCTTGCCTTTGGATTAACAACTAAGGGTTTACATTGATAGAAGACAAAAACTGACTTGGGCAAGAAAAAGAAACCGATATAGACAAGCCTATTTACTCCTTTGATGACTTGATTCTGGTCGTTCTGAAACAACATAGTCACAAACCCACGCTCAACTTCTATCGAATCCCTACAATCCCCCACCCCACCCCCACACACATTAATTGTTTGTGATGGGAAGGTGAGGCAGAAAAGATGGAAATACACAGAACAATTCTACTTGTATCTCCCCTTTAAAATAGATTATGATTTATCAGATTGTGTTTATCAATATTTACAACAACAAAGCTGACTAACACAAAAGGAAAAGAGAAAAGTGAGAGCAAATTTGATTTTTGTTTCTCTTCACAATGAAACCCTGAAGAGGTAAGCGCCTTACTTTGTAGCCAGGAGCATGTTTTTTCTTGTCACTTGCTCATTGGGATCGGAATGTTGTCGGTTGAGAAATTCAGCTACTGCTTTGGCAGGAAATTCGGTTTCACACACGTACCCAAAGTCCCTGGCTAGGTGGACGGCTTCTCCTGGCAAGAGGTGAGAGGAGGGAGGCGAGTGCAAGAGAATGTAGAGTTGGGATCAAAACTTCCTCCCAACTCCCTTATTTTCTTAAACCAGATGTTGAAGGAAACACAAAATACTTGTTTTCTCATTTCAGGCATTTTATTTCCTTCTCGGTAGATTCTGGTGGATGTAGTTATCAGGAAAAATGGCCACTTACCCTAGAAGGCCAAGATGATTTGAAAATGTAAATCTCATCCACTACCCCCATTCTCATCCCCACCCTGACAACATTTTCCCAACTTCTCTTTTAAAATGTTTCTTGTATTCCAACCTCACACCTATCAACGCATTCATAAATGGTATGCATAATTACTCCTTGAGCTTTTCTGCAAGGTAACAACTAAGGGTTTACATTTTAACTTGATCGCATATAATTATCTGTTCATCCAAACCGATTAACCAAGAGGATTTGAGGGTCACTCCACTGAGTCTGTCTGTGTTGTTGATTTTCAAATCTTTGGTTTTAATTTCCTGAACCAGTTGGTTTTTACTGCAGGGCTTCCTGCCATTAGCTCCAGCTCCGGAAGAACGCATGCGCCAATTAGAGCATCAAAGCCCTCTCCGCAGAGCTTGTTTCCATAAAATGGAGCGGATCACAAACAATAACAGTTCTCCAGAAACTGCCTCCCTGCTACAGGACTCAACCCCAAAACCCACACATACTCTCCCACTACACCCGAACTCAAAACTACTTTTTTTTTTTTTTTTGCATATAGGTCTTTTGGAGTATGGATAGAGCATTTTCTATGTATTGGTATTATTTTTAATATAATGAATATAATGCTACTGTAGATAGTTTCTGGCACTGAACAAATGCTTATTATTTAACAGTTATATTATTGTCATCTTTGACACCATTATCAAATTGTTCATAAGGTTCCTCCTCAAATTTACCGTTTTAAGCATTTTTAGTTATTTACAAAGCTAGAAGTTGAATGCAACTGTATTACACCTCCTCAAATAGAAAATGTAAATAAGATAAAAGGCCTTCTGTAAATATAAATGGCAGTTTTGAAATCTGCCTGATAATTTAAGTGCCTTTTTCCCTATAGCCATAAGGCATTTCCAGCAGAACACAAAGGAAAATGCAAGAGAGCTATATATTTATTCCAACACACTCAACTTAAGCCAATTTAGTATCAGAAAAACTTAACAGGAATCTAGAGGAAGCAGGAATCTGAGAAGATCCTGGTGAGGGTGCATCTAGAGCAGGGAGTGAGGACAGGGTTGGCTTTTGTTTTTGAGGGGTTTGGAAGCATGCATGTGTGTGTTGTGTGTGTGTGCGCGTGCATGCGTGCGTGTGTGCTTAAAACTGCCAGGAGGAACTTTTTGCAATGCTCATCTTTCTTTTTTCTTTTTATATCCAAACAATTCAAAGTCTAAAATCACTCACTTTTCTTCCCCTCCAAGTAAAGAAGCACAATTAAAGGAGAGATAAGGGAGCATATGTTTGGAAAACAAAAACTGAAAGGGTATATAACCCTGAGCTTTCAGGATGGTCTTAAATCAGGATGCAGGTCAAAGATTCCCAAATTAATTCAGGAAGTAATGGTCACGCATTTCTCAAATGCAGATGTCAGAATACCTTAAGTGATTTACTGCTGAGCTCTATAAGGGAGACAGGAACTTGGAGAATATGCAGTTCTTAAATTTTCACATTGTTTAGGTCAGAATTGGGCTAGGGAGGTGTAATTTTGTGGCAGAGGGGAAGAGGAAAGGAGGATAGGAATAAATGCAAATAGTTTTTTGACATGCAAGAATTTCATTCACTTCCTGCTTCGTTCTCTGGAAAAAAAATGAAACTGCCCAATTGACACAAAATACAACCAAACATCTGGCCACTAAGTACTACCCATTTCCCCAGGAGAAACTTCCCTCTTGTTAGCAAGTAGATTCGCTTACCCTCCACTAGTGATGTGAGCAGGGTGACATTGGCAGCTTTGCGTCTCCCTGCTGGCAGATTTAATCCTATTTTGTCCAGCTTTTCTCTTAAAGATCTTCCTCCATTTTTAGACTTCGCCCTGTTTCGAAAATATAGGAAAGGGATTTAGAAAACATTGGGTTGCTCTGCATCATATTATAGTAATTTTGACAGCTTCCTAAAATTAAGAATCACAGCCCCGAGATATTTAAGGGAGGGAAATCTAGGGAGAAATGGTACAGAAACATCATAGGAGACAAATGCTTGTTAAACTGTAAAGCATCGTCTGTCTTCAGTTATTATTGCAATTACTGTGGCAGGTTGGAAGGTTTTGAGTTCCCAACTCTCTAAAGAACCACAAACAAAAACAGCTCTCACCTCTAGGGTGTAAGGTACTTTTTAGTTCAACCGGTCACTGTATATTTTCCCTGTTGTTACAATCACATACATCCCAGTGGGGTCTTTAAATTGTCTGTGTAAGATCTGCTGTTAGGTTGTTCAGAGTAACCAAAGTTATCATCACTCTCACGTTTCTTGCTCTGGCTTTAGCCCCAACGGGGAATTCATTTCACCAACTGTTTACATGCCATGTCACCAGCCTAACTGGAAATGTCAAAAGCTGCTATCGGCCTTTAAAATTTTCACTGATTTTGAGACAATGGAGGCGGTTCTAAATAGATGTCTAAATAGACTTCCATAATCAGAAAGTGGTTAAGATAAATTGTTTAAATAAAACAGCAAATTAATTAATTTCAGATTTTATTCCCTACTCAAGTGCTCTTTAATTGTGTGGATTAGATTATACTCCCCTAGGTAAACAGTCTCCAATATTGGGGGTGGGGGGAGGGGAGGAAAAGGCAGAGGGCGGACTCAGATCTGTGACAGTGAGAGATTACAAAGGGACAGCCAAGTGACTGTGAAGGAGGAAGAAAAGATTAAAATAGCTGATGTCAAAACCTTCCAGGAATGGTTTTATAGGCTTTGTATGGGATATACCTACCAGAGCAGAACCAAAAGTCTCATAGGTAGGTAAATGAATATCAAAAGGATAAAGTTTTGGTCTACTTTCTTATTTAAAAAAAGGGGGGGGGGGAGAGAAAGTATTTGTCTGGGAAAGCTCAACACAAGACCCTCGGTTGGGTGGAGCCCTAGGAGGAAGAAGCCCACAGGAGGGAGAAACCTGCCCTGAGGGAAGATGCTCCACCTCGCTGCCGCTTATGAAATCTTATCTACGAAATGAATCATTCCGACCTCGCGGGGGTGAGGCCACGTATGTAACATGTATTCGTCGGTAGTGACGGCACCTAATGCACTTAAACGTGCCTTGCATGCTGCCTGGCACACATCGGGGCCGCCATACATCGCGACCATGAATGCAAGTGCCTTGGGCGCGGGGAGTCACCTTCTGTCCGAGGTGGTAATGACCGGCGGGCATGGCGAGCTGACTCAAGAGAAAGCAACTGTCTTCCACTTAAAACTCTATTCTAGGAACGACGGGTTACCCGTCGGAGACCCTACACGGAGGTAAAGAAAAGCGAGGCGCCCGAGAGGAAGTTCTCCAGGGCCAGCAAGGTGTGAGCAAGGAGGTAAAAGGCAGCGGCACGGCGCCCCGCGGCTGCCGCAGCCGGGACTGAGCTCACGGCGGAGCGAGCTGCGCGTGCGCGCCGGGCGGAGAGCGGGAGGAGCCGGAGGGCCCGGCGAGCGCGCGGCCGCCAC